TCCTGCTGAGATTACTAGATTCACAACACATACATCAAAAAAAAAAGCATTAAGACAGCTATTTGCAACAGCAGTACTTTTAAATCTTAGAAACAGTATCTGCGCGCAACACCTCTGCTCAGCATTAATATTTTGGGGTACTTGACAATATGCTGCTTGGTAGATCTCACAAAATATCAAAACACTTGAGGATTCTGAACACCCTTATGAAACTTCACGTTTCATACATTTTCACTAGCAGTGGATTCTTGTATTTACCCAGAAGACTCTAAATGTGACTTTTACACCAATTTCCCCAATACTTTACACTGTGCCGAAGATCAACCTCAGCCCACATGGAAATATCAAGCCAACCTTCCTAACCTAGCTTCCAGGCAAGATGAGACTGAGGTAGACTGCTTATTGGATCCTACTGGTGTTGGGCGGATTTCTTGCCCAGTCTCTCCTCACACTGAGGATTTAATTAACATAACTGGAACTGCAGGTTTATCTTTCAACCCAAAGACGGTGAAACAGTGTTCTCATGCTCTTCCTGGACACCAGTTTAATTCTGTAAGAAGTATGCCATCTACTGATGCACTATTTACTATACCATTCTTTAAGAGCCTTAACACAACCACTGATCAAGAACAGCCTTAGCTGTGTTAGCCAAGAAGAAAAATAGTATTCCATGAATTTCCAAGAAACGACAGTGCTCTCAAAGCCAGTGAAATGTGTTTTATTTTAAGCCACTGCTAAAACAAGGACAAATTTAGTGCAACCTGGAGTTTATAATCTGAAAACTGAGTATAGTTAAATTACTAAAATGGCAAAACTCATCACCATTATACAGTACAAGACCTTCATATTCATTGAGTACAGTAACATAAACATTTACAGTTATCCAAACTGCTTTTGGTATACAATTGCATCACTAACTGGGCTGTGAATTACTGTAACACTGCACAAATAAGCAGCAGTTCCAGCAAATGATAATAAATTTTAGTATTAAATACTATTCGGACATTACGACAGAACAAAGGCCCTCTAAAACTACAACTCCAGCTATACAACAGGAATGTACAAAGATGGTACAAAATAAAGTGACTACAGTGGCTGGGCTCCATACTTGCCTCTTCAGAGCTCAAGTACAGTAAATGCTCAACAGTAGTGGCTCTTGCTGAAAAGCCAAAATTCTTAACCGAAATCATTCCTGAATCTTGTATTTTCCTTTGCAAATCAACTTTGTCAAACTAGGGTTTTTTTGCGCTGGTGACAGTGTTTACTAATTACTGTGTTCCCATCTCCAACAATACGTGGCTCTTTATAGAAAAGGTCCCAGACAAAGTTACATTGGGAAATGCAACGCTTAAAATCCGATACCATTTTTGAGAGACCTAATTAGTCTCGGAATGTGGGTTGTTGAGTTTTCGGGTTTTGTTAAGTTTTTTAACAAGCTTACACAATCTTTTAAAACTCAAGAACAAAGATACCACACAGATCGCATCCACGTACATCGTCTTAGCTACTTTTTCACATCCTCATTTTGAGACAGCAAATCCTCTTTAATTTTAGCCTATGGGTTTCAGTTTTGTTTGGTTTTTATTTTAAGGCTTTATACATACTTCTGTATTATTTATGCACCTCGTTCTGAAAGCTTAAATTTGTTCTATATATGGTCACTTTAAATTGCTAATTTATAGAGGGACTATTTTCAAAGTGCTTTTTCTACAGAATCTTAGAAAAAGCATCCGAACACTTTCATTTTTCAGAACACCGAATGTATTTACCAAGGGATTGAGACAGGGTGTCTTCTGGAACAGTAACACCATTGTATATATTTTCCTCAACTTAAATATGAAATTACCAAGCCAGCTTTCCCATACATAAAAAAAAGCAAGATGAAACAAACTCTACCTTATTATGTTCATTTATAAAGCAGAGCCGTCTGCTCTTAAATGGACCAAAATGTGGCCCTTCATGTTTTTACCGTTTTCATTGACACTTCTGTATTTGCAGTCAGGAGTTTTAAATAAACTCACTAATAGCATAATTTAAGACTTGCATTAGCAAAGAACAGCTTTCTCACTAATATGGCAGACAGAATCAGTCAGATACAGAGTAAAGTTTCATGAAGATTATTAAAATTGTTAAATTATAATAATTTCGCCAGGGTAGTTGAATGCTTTCCCCATTTTGATACCCAAGGAGAAAAGTCAAGTCATCCAGACCAAATTTAAAACAATTTTGTACAAAATCGACTGGGTTTTTTTGTTTAAGTAAAAATGAAGTTTTTTATAAAATATTTTTCTCATGTAAATTTGGCAACTATGCTGCTTTCCTTAGAGGCTAATAAATCAATTTCTCCCTTAATATAACACCAATCAATAGTTACATAACCTATTTGATCCAGTCCGAAAACCAGATTCCATTTATAAAAATAATTTTTACTGCAACTATCATCTACTTAACTTTGAAGAGTTATAAGTTTTGGGAATCGCACAATCTTCTGCCTTTCCCCAGAAAAGTAATTAAAAAGAAAAACCACTTCACCAGCTTTGTAAAATCCAACATACTGAATAAATCAGTTAAAAATGGCTGTTCCTGTGGTGATGTTTTGTTGTTTGTTTGTTTGTTTTTTCAAATGTACAGCTTTGTACCTTTACAATGCCTTCAGTATCTTTCGCGATTTGGTTTTGGACACGTACAGAAACATTGTACTAGTACTACTGTATCCTCATGCCCTGAAATTACACTTGGTGAGACTGAAAGAGTCCAAAACCCAGAGCAGAATTTAGTTCTGAGGCAGTGTTTTTAGTATTTTCTTTTCTTGATCTTTCAATTTTATAGGTAAATTTGCACATTATTACCGTGTTAAAGGGAAGATGTTACAGCCCGAGAATCATTTCAAACAGTTGTCTGAAACAACGTTGAAAATCAACCTTAAAAAAAAAAGCAAGAAAGGAGCATGAGGGGTAGGGGAGGGGAAAAAAAGGTCCAGATAGCTTTTGTACAACTCTTTAAAAATATTTGTTACTAGCCTCATCTTCCGAATATAGGAATTAAGATAACTGCCCCCCTCCCTCTCTCCCCCCAAACTTTGGGCTCTAGAGAAAAACAATTCCTGAAGCTTAGCATCATATTATAACAAGACAAAAGACCTTGTAATGGTTTTTGGTCTTTTTGTCACGACATACATAGATCTTTCAATTAGTGAAATGATATATGAAGTCCAGTAATAAACTATGAGCATAACAGAATTTTAAGTTAGTGGTAAACATTTACACTAGAAGTTCATATCGGTGGGATCTCATACACATATAGATACGTATAGAGCTCTATGTCTGTATGCACGTGTGTGAACACGCATATGTGCATATACAAAAACATTAAAAATATTTAACTCTGTGAGAAAGGTGAACCTCATGAGATCCAAGGCAGAAATTGAGATGACAAATGAGAACTATAACAAACCAAGCCTCTGAAAAGACCAGTGGAATGTCTTCCTGAAACACAAAGACATTGCAAGAAGAGTGCTTCTGAGTTTACCAGTATGACACCTCATAGTAATACAGGAGGTGGGGGAAATCACTGTACATATGCCATTAAAATTCATGAATAGATTTAGAGACTTCATCTCTCCTTGTTTGGGATCAGAAACTTAGGCACCATGCCAACAGTATATTTTTCTATGAAAAAGCTCTTAAGATTCTTTTGTTCATCCAAAATAAGTAAGACTGTGATTCTCTTGCAAGTGATATGAGTTTTGGCGTGGCAACTTTGCAATTACCAGCACGTGCCTTTTTCTCTCAAAGGATGTACAAAAAAACAACCCCCAAAAAGCATTTTCAAACCACAGGATATTACAGGCCCAGATTTCCCTTCAGTCAGAAAGGCACGTCAGCAGCACTGGTGAGAAACCTAACTAGACTCCTAAAAAGACCTGATTAAAAGTGCCTTTAAAAAAAATTCAGTGAAGGTAGTTAAGAAAAACAAAAAAAAATCAATTTGCAAGAAATTTCCCCTTTATGTTTTAATTAGCTTTCTTTGCTAAATGCTTAAGTGCTCACTGAGTAACAAAACTCTCTTTATTACTGAAAAGTAAATTCATATATGGAGGCTAAGAAATATAGGATTAGACTAGTCAAAAAGATGGTCGAAATCCTCAGAGGAAGAAGTTTCTATCTGCCACTTTTAACACATCTACGTGAGAGACTAACATACAAATTCTTCGACACAGAATTAATGTCATACAAGTATTCACGTACAAAAAGCTTCAGTAAGAAATTTAGCAGTTTAAACTCTGTCGGCAAGCTTCAGGAAACCTCACTGAAGAAGTATGTATGAAATTATGCTCAACTACCCACTCTGCCCTTCTACCAGCTCTCCTGGCTACCAGTAGTCAACAAAAGGGAACACGTATTTGCACCTCAACAATTTCAGAGCAGACTCTCACATCTTCACATAAAGTTAAACTTGATAGAGGCAGTATTAAGGGGCTGCTTGGGTATATCACAATTTGGTTCCTGGCAACAGTGCCCATGGGCACATAACACCTGGCCAATATCGATGATTTTCTTCATTGTCTGCAGCAAGGTATTCCAGAATAGATTTCTGTAGAACTTCAGCATTCTTAGTCCCACTATGAATACAGCACACATACAAGTGGAAAAAGAGCTCTCCTGGCACAGCAGAGATGCTGAGTATCACGCCTTGGACTCTCTCCTCTGAACTACTATCATAGACAAGCGATTTTTTTCCATAAGTATTTCCATGTTCTGAACACAGCAGTAAATACAAGTTATGCATGGGTGGACAATAACGATTATGGGCTGAATAAACATACCATGTGCACAGTATCACAAAGCACAGCACAGCTATTTTGACTTTCACCTCGAAGTCTTTTAAAGGCTGACAATTACTTGAACATTCATTAATTGAATTTTACTTTACATATCTGTGTTCTTCCTATATCCTTTGCAAAGAGGAATGAGTTGAAGAGTGTTGCATCTTTGGATTTTTCAGATGTTTTCCAGAAGCCAACCAACCAAAGACTTATTTAGAGCTTGCTCTCCATCAGACACCTTCTCTATCATTTCACAATATTTCAGCACTGCTTGCAAGAGATCTCCAACTCTCCAATCTCTTTCTCGCAGTCTCCTGGAAAGCTAAAGGGGAAAGAGAGGAACACAAAACAAACCATTTTCACCGGCACATCCTGATTAACAGTTACAGAAGTTATTCTTGAAACCTTAGCTCATAAGAGATCAGTTGTAATGAGTTAATCGTTATTCCCACATCTATAAAAACAAAAGCTTCCACACGAATCAGGCATTTCTTTTTAGGGCACTTTTCACAAAATTTTCTTCTGGAAGGAGTGACATTTTCAAATGATGTGGTGCCACAGGTATGAAGGTTGTGGTTCATCAAGGCTGCAGAAAACAGGAAATTCTGAACGCAAGATTAAGACATTTGCCATCCCTCCCATGCCAATAATGCACATATAAAAAGACAAAAACTCAGTCTTAATAAAAGGATGTGGATTTTCCTTTCACAACATATAGTGTGGTTTGGGTGGCAGAGACGCTACCCTCAATGAAAACAGTGTCTTCAGAATTGGGAAATTATAACATCTTGGGGAAGAGGAAAAGGTGAGGGTTAAGTTAAACTACCATTTGGGAGGAGAGATCAGTGTAGCTGAAAACATTTTTTTTTTTTTTGCCCAGGAAAAAAATCTTCCTTTGCTTACATGTCAAGCTCAGCTATATATGGAAGAAAGCCTGCCCCAAGACAAGGATGAATCTGCCATTTTGCCCAGGAGTTAAAAAAAAAAAAAAAATAGAAAAAAAAGAAGCTGTTAGTTTGGTTTTTTTTAAAAAAAAACACAGCAAAACAAAAAACCACAACCCACACAAACAAACTTTATTCTCTGTAGATTTCTGGACAACTGTCAATGCTGCATTTAATAAAGACAATTTAGACACTTACCCTACTTAATTCTTTTACTGCCTTTTATAGTCCTTACCATGATATTCTATAAATTAAGTTTAAAACAAGGTCATAAACAATGTTCAGTGAAATGGCTTCCACAGCCACAAAATTAAAAGTTCATAATGTTGCTTCTATGATACCTACTAGATTGAAATATGAAATTCTATTAAAAAAAGAAAAGTAAGACAATTTCTCTCTGCTTCTTCACCTAGCTCATGTTCCCACTGCAACAAGGCAGCTGACAGAACTGACAGGAAGAGTGTGGATATAAAAACAAGCATAAACAATAAACTTCTTGAGAAAGTAATTAACTGGAATGAGCAAAAAAGACTTCCTCTAATCTTGAGTATAATATATGCTGAACACTGAAACTTTTTTCAGTGAAAAAAAAAAATATTTTATACATTAAAGTGGACTGAAACCTGTAGTTATTTTTGAGAATTATTTGTGAATTTTGAAATAGAGCACAGGAAGCAAGAGTTTTATAGTCTGCAATGGGCAATTTTGTAAATGGTGTTTGTTGGTTTATAAAAGAATGGTCGTTTTTCTTACGCCAGAGGAAAGTTTGGCTAACGTCCAAAGACCTACTTAAGCAAGTACAGTGTAAAATTTCTCTCCAAAGAAGATACTGCCATGGTAAAATGACAGATTTGGCACTTGGCTTCACTAAACTTTCTATTTTAATTTAGAGTTCAAAGTTCACTCCCACTATTTCTTTAGCCAACTGATCAGGGTTTTACTGTCAGACAAGCAAAATATTGGAGTTTATTCAAAACAGACACCAGGAATCCTAAAACAGCTAGATAAGGTCTGATTAAAAATTGAACACATTTTTTTTTTTTAATCCAGGCACTTGCATATCCACACTGGCAGACTTCTCAAAAAAGTTAAGAACTATCTATCTTAATTTACTGGCTTCTTGTTCTAGCTCCTAACAAATGTTTTCAACTTCTTTCTGCCTTTCCGAGCATAACTTCTATCCTTAAGTAAAAGTTCATACCCAGCTGCAGCAAGTAATACCTTGCCTGATAATACGCTAGGAGTATTTTTGTCTTTCATCCAGCCACACCACATCGGCAGCTCATTACCTGCTGCGATCAGCCAACAAAAGCCTTTCCTCTCTTCCAGAACCCACCAGCTACTTATAGTGAAAATTACTGTCTTTAATGTGATCTAAAGGCCTGGTTCATTCCCCGTAAAACTGAGGAAGCTTTCCAAAGTACCTACGAGACGGTCAAAACTGGCGAGAGATCAGTGCATAGAGGTCAGTTCAGTTTTCTTCTGGGCTCTAGTGCCCTCTGGAGGTGCTTGTCTGGCTTTACTAGTGACAGAACTGAGAATGAGACTGGCTAATTTAAGACGCTCAGTTTGGGTCAGAGATCACCAGGATCAGGCTGGAACCTACTGCAAGACTTCTTATTTTGTACTACTAAATAGCTTATTTTTATTAAAACAATCCTGAAATAACAGTTTATTTTCAAAAGGATCTTAATACAATCACAAGCATCCTTTCAGAGTCTTCATTCTCTGAATTTATGATCTGAAAAATTTTGAAGTATATTTTAACTTCAGAAACTAATCAAATGATATTTGTATGCATCCTAATCTTTCCTATACAAGATTATTCAGACAGAGATTGTGCTCTGAAAATTCTGCATTTTCCTTTGAACTTTAAGAAACAGTGAGAGATGCCGAGTTAGACTGACACAACAGGCAAATTTCTGGGGTCTGGCAATTCAGTTTAGATACAAACAGCACAAAATGGACAAGAGCACAAGTCTGTAGAGAGACAGTGTTACACATTCCAATTGGGAAATGGGATGGAATAAACAACAGGTAATAATTCCCTGCCTTCAGGGAGGAAACAAGATTTCAATTAATTTAACATAACTGCATTTGGAGAACTAAAAATTAATCTATGAAATGAAGTGAAACAATTAACTTTTTTAGTATTTTCAGGACTGCATGACTACTGCCTGCCTGAGGTCTTATGTTTTATCTTTAGGTGTCAACTCAGTATCAATTTGTGACTAAGTGTCAAGTAGAAAAACATAACATTTTTTTTAGGAGTGCATACTTAATAGACACTGCTATTTTCCAGAGTGCTCTTCTCAGCATATTCTCTTATGAGGGTAGCTAGAGTGGTGTTCAGATACACAGCCAGCTAATAACATCTTTCCTATGTGTCTTCAGGCATTGGCTCAAATAGTAGCATGACACCTTTGAGGTCTACTAAGTCAGAGCTGACAGAAGAATGAGACAGACTCGAGGGAAAATTAAAAGAAGAGGCATCTGCCATCTATTTTTTGTTTTATATGTTATGTTGCAGTGTAAGATAGAGCGAGCTCTCTCTCACACACACACACAAAGGAGATTACCATTAACACTGTGGGTCCTACCACTATTCTGCCCGAGTATCTGCAACACCGCTATCCACATACAACAAGCATGAAAGAGATGGATAGATCTTCAAAAGATGGCAAAAATGACTCATGAGGTCAGAACAACTGTAGTCACTAAACTCAAGTCATTCACATCAAAAGCACTTCAGAGAATGCTGGGGCAAGCATGTTAGAACAGAAAAAGTGAGGTATTTTCTTCTTTATGTTAAGACACTTATAAACCGTAACAAGGAAGGAACATATGTACACAAGGATTAAACCCAGGAATGTCAAATAAAAACAGAAATGGAGAAAAGTATTGGCAAACTGCCTTCTAGTTTATGAAAGCATGAAGTCCACTAAGTATCTAGAACTAATGTACAATAAAACATATCTCTGAAAAAATACTAAATCAAACATACCAAGCTCCAGTAAAGGAGCAGAGAGGATGTATCTTAACTTGCCGAAAACACATTTCCGTATTTTCTGGGTTATTTAAAATAAGAATGCAAGACTTCCAACTCTCAAGATGGAATACATACACCACACAGTTACATAGGCAAAAGAAAAACAGAACTAGCATTATTTTTATGGACTAGAAAGGGAGAAGCCACTTAGGAAAATTCAGCCCAGGTACGATCTGGACTGCCCTCTCAGTACCTTTCATAGTTTTAACACAAGTCTACAGTAACTAAGCACCACAGGTGCACACATTCATCTAAGTTGGGAGTTTGTTTAGTCCTACTGGCCTTCCTGGCCACCCCCCGTTTCTGCCAACATGATGATCTGAGCTTTGGAAAGCATCAAGTTGAAGACTCAATACTAAATTTCACAACTGAGAGCAAGCTTTTCCTTCCTTGGTATACTGAGATGCACATTAAGTTGTTTTTGCCAGATCTTAATTATTAAAAACATATTAATGGCATCATGTTAATGCACATGTTACCAGGTCACAAAACAAAAATATTTGATAATTTATCACTCCTATCAACCCCATCATTAGAGACAATGCCTATATATCTGTTAAGTTAGCCTTTCAGTAGCCAGGTAATATTGAAACTATTCCTTGGTAGAAGATTAAAAAAAGTAGGTCAAACGTAATAAATGCCAGATTACCATGTGCAGTTTGGTGTGTAGCCCAAAGGAGTAATTTGTATTATTTTACAGAAATAAGAAGTTTCTTTTATATGTTTGTGACAGGAATACTCAGGTCAGTACACATACCAAAATGTTGACCATTCTCTAAGAGACACTAATTAGAATCACAGAATCATTTAGGTTGGAAGAGACCTTTAAGACCATCAAGTCCAACCGCTAACTTAACATTGCCAAGTTCACCACTAAACCATGTCCCCTAGCACCACATCTACAAGTCTTTGAAATACCTCCAGGGATGGTGACTCAACCACTTCCCTGGGCAGTGTGTTCCAACGCTTGACAAACCTTTCCATGAAGAAATTTTTCCTAATAGCCAGTCTAAACCTCCCCTGGCACAACTTCAGGCCATTTCCTCTTGTCCTATCACTTGTTACTTGAAAGAAGAGACCAACACCTACTTCACTACAATGTCCTTTCAGGTAGTTAGGAGCAATAAAGTCTCCTCTGAGCTTCCTCTTCTCCAGACTAAACAACTCCAGTTCCCTCAGCTGCTCCTTGTAATATTTGTGCTCTAGAACCTTCACCAGCTTCATTTTCTTTCTCTGGGCACACTCCTCAATGTCTTCCTCATAGTGAGGAGCCCAAAACTGAACACAATATTCAAGGTGCAGCCTCACCAGTGTCAAGTTTAGGGGGACAATCACTTCCCTAGTCCTGCTGGCCACACTATTTCTGATATAAGTCAGGGTGCTGTTGGCCACCTGGGCACAATGCTGGCTCATATTCAGCTGGTTATCAACCAACACCTCTGGGTCCTTTTCGGCCAGGCACCCTTCCAGCCACTCTTCCCCAAGCCTGTAGTGTTGCATGGGGTTCTTGAGACCCAAGTGCAGGACCCAACACTTAGCTTTGTTGAACCTCATACAGTTCGCCTCGGCTCATTGATCCAGCCTGTCCAGATCCCTCTGTAGAGCCTTCCTACCCTCAAGCAGATCAACATTCCTGCCCAACTTGGTGTCGTCTCCAAGCTGACCGAGAGTGCACTCAATCCCCTTGCCCAGATCACTGATAAAGATATTAAACAGAACTGGCTCCAATACTGAGCCTTGGGGAAAATCACTTGTGACTAGCCACCAACTGGATTTAATTCTATCCACCAGAACTCTTTGGGCCCAGTCATCCATCCAGTTTTTTACCCAGCAAAGTCTATGTCCCTCCAAGCCATGAGCAGCCAGTTTCTCCAGGAGAATGCTATGGGAAACGGTGTCAAAGGCTTTCCTAAAGTCTAGGTAGACAACATCCACAGCCTTTCCCTCATCCACTACCAAGTTACCTAGACACAGAAGGAGATCAGGTTAGTCAAGCAGGACCTGCCTTTCATAAACCCATGGTGACAGGGCCGGATCACCTGGTTGTCCTGTATGTGCCACATGATGGCGCTCAAGATGATCCGCTCCATAACCTTCCCTGGCACCAAGGTCAGACTGACAGGGCTGTAGTTCCCCAGATCCTCCTTCCAACCCTTCTTGTAGATGAGCGTCACATTTTCTAACCTCCAGTCAACTGGAATCTCCCTAGTTAGCCAGGACTGATGATAAATGATGCACAGTGGCTTGATAAGCACTCTGCCAGCTCCCTCCATGCCTCTGGATGGATCCTAAAGCCTAATTCTTTAAACTTTTGCCTTCTCTTTGGCCACAAATTAAGTTAAATCTATAAAACCAAAATAACAGCACCTAAAAATGAAACAATTTTATTGAGACTTCTTTCTTAATAGTTTTGGTTGCAGTTGCTTACAGAGTAAAAATATAATTAACATTTAATTAAAACAAACTTCTTTCCGATAAGTTTTCTAGCATTTTCTAGCACAAAAACTGAGGCAGAACATCAGAATATTAAGTTAGAAATTAATTTGCATGCACAAGTTCTCAGAAAGATTCAATTTATAGAAAAATATTAAGTAAAAAATGCTTGAAAAAGTATTTTTTTCACTAAACAAAAATGCTCTAATTGTATCCTCTTTGGAGTAAAACAGCGAAAATCCCTTGTGAAACAAGTTAATTCAGCTTTGATTAACACTGTTTTATTTATGGTGCATGCACAGGTTAAACAGGCTGTTTCACTTTGACCTCTCAGGATTTAAATAATGATTTCCCTCAACAGCAAATACCCGTTATTATCGAGTGGCAAATAAAGTCATAGCAGTTAGTGTATCACAACAAATGGAAATCAAGCAAATCCTTCCCCTTCCCCACCACCCACCAAATCCAACTACTTACAAAAACAAATTCCCTTGCAGCAGCGTCACGAAAGTGAAGATCAGACACCTCTGTTTCAGAAGCTGCCAGCCACTGGAGTGCTGCTCTGAGCTGGAGGTCCACTAGATTTGGTTCCAGATCAATATTCACTATCGCTAAAGTCTTTCGTATTTGTTCCAAACCTAGCATTAAAAATAAAATCATCAACTCTATAGCTTCAAATTGTTTCCAAATATTATCTTAAACCCCTCAATTTAGTACACACATAATATGAAAGGAAGCAATCATGCTGAAGTATTTATGTACTTTCACACAAGCAAGTGCTGTTTAACCCATTTACAACTCTGTGCAAACATAGCTGAGTATTAAATGACATCTAAGCTCTAATGTATATTTCAAATGACAAGGAATTTAACACAGCCTTCCATAAACGGAACAGCCATGGCTCTCCCATTGTCCACCAGTTATTTCTGTTTCCAGTTGCTATTTTTTGCTATGCTTTCATCTACTAAATTTTTTTGAAGTGTGTATTTCAGAATTCTTTCCTGTACAGGCAGACTGATCAGACTGTCTCTGAATATGTTCCAAAATACAGTACTGTTTTTACTGAGGCCTATCCAATTTTTCTACACTTCCTTTACAGTGTGAGTTCCAAAAATTAACACAGTATTGGAAGAGCAGTTGCATTAGTAACACAGATAAACTACAGTATTCTATTCCTACTCTGAATTTCTGTATCCAGCTATCACAGTAATCCTTTGTCACACTCTCAGAACCAACTAAGCATACGTGTAGCACTCTCCAAGTTGTTCTTGAAGTCTCTACTTCCAGACTTAGCTCTCTAGAAACGAGGAATATATTTGCAATAAAAACACATGTTCACATGTAGTTTACCTCAGTCTCAGTACTCTTCCAATCAAGTTTATGAAAAAAGGTATTCATTCTTAACTGGCAAAGTTAAGCAAGATGAAATAGATTCCCCCAGGAGGTAAAAGACAAAGAATATTAACTAGTGGAACTCTCAACATAAGGGTGCTTTAGGTGGCTAACAGAATATTTGTCTAGAAGCCCCAAAATCTAACATCTCTATAGGAGAAAGAACGATTATAAAAAAAAAAAATTATGACACTTAGTAGATGGAAAGCATTGTGGTAATGTACCACTGGCAAATCTTGATGTATTTTTTAGTTTTACAAAATAGATGTGCATTTTGTAATAACAAGGCTTTGTTTCAAATTCTTCAGTGAACAAGGCGCAGTCAGCTTAGAAAAAGCCAGACATTTCTTAGTATGACATAAACAGAACTTCCCAATGTACAAAACCAGGTACAAAGGTTTTCTGCCTAGAACACTATTTAAACGGTCCTACAAGGAAAGTAAAACAGAGTCTTTTCAAAATAATAGTGAGACAGTGAAGAAATTAAACTGGAAAAAGTTCACAAGAAAATCCTTAATACAATATAAAGTAGTCTGTTGCACTCTGGGAGACATCTGAACTGTGAAAAGAAATAAAATCAAGCACCGCTTTAATCGAGCAATTTCAATGTTTGAGATACTCAAACTTTTCAAAGTCAAGACAAAAAGAAAGCAATGGTATATTGATAACCTAGATGAAACCTACAGAGCAGAAATTTTTTAAATTATTACTATTATTTTCTGGGGAAAAATACTAAACAATTTAGTTTTTAGTTTAGTTTCTATAACCTTACAGTCGGATCTGATTTAAAAAAAAAGAGATGCAGTTCATTTCCATACATTTTCCAGAAGTTAAAAAAAAAGAAATAATCACACATTTTTCTGCTTACATCAAGACAATGTGCAACATGGCTGAATATCCTCTGTAAGTGAGTAGCAGAGACTTCTTGAAATGCTTATTTTGTCTTCAGAATATACCCAACACAAAGAAAAGCTCTGTTGCAACTTGCTCGTAATATCAGCTCATCTTTAAATCAGCCTCACACACTGTGAGGGTGTTCTCATTTGAGTTAACCTTTGGCACTTCAATCAGACTGCAACCAGTGCAGAGATCTTCTATGAATCAGAAAACTGTAATAACATTCTAAATAGATCTTATTTTATATTTCAAGAAGAAAGATTATAGCGAATGTATCGAATCCCAAGTTTTTTCATGGTTTCTCATTACTCCTCTTCCAAGGTTAACACGGCCAGTTTGAATAACTTATTCCGTATCTCGAACGCAGCCATGCATGGCTCCTTAAGTATTATACAAAGAAGTTATTTTATGCATATAAATTCATGCTTTCCATGAGATGATCAGAGTTCACTACCTTCCATTATTAAGTACCTGTGTGAGCATCAGAGACTAGCATTTCCCTAAGGCTGTAAATTTCAGCGCATTACGAGGTGTATGTAGGGTATTAATCTAGCAATATATTCTGACACTTGACTGACATGCATTATGATGAACAGGGATAAGAGGGTTGTCAACTTGTTTTGCAGACTACAGAAGCACAGAACTAACAAAAATAATTCATGTAGAGTGCACAGGTCAAGAACAGTCATATATGCTGGAATTGACATTACCTTCTACAGCATCCTTGGAGTCCTCATCTTTATCCTCTGTTCCATCACTGTATTTTAAAAACAAAATGAAAAAATTGTTACAATCCAATATAAGCAGTCAATCCTAAGACTGTAATGAAGGTTAAAGGACAAGAAGGTCATAAAAGAATTCAGAAGTCATCATGAAAAGAAGCTTTGCTTCTCACACCATTTCATGTTGGAAACAGACTTAAGAACTTCACAGGATTTGCTTTTAGGGAA